AGGCACCTGGTTGTAGATGGTTTATTTCCCTCTTTTTCCTTTCTCAAAAGTAATAACAAAAGRGARAGAAAGAAGGATACATAGCAGAAGACATAAATAGGAAGTATTCACAGAGAGGACCTTCCTTTTTCTACCTGTATTAGTGAGACTTTTTCTTCCTTGCCTTCCCTTGAGCACTTCTCTTTTCTTCTCTCCTTATATTTGGTTTTCTTTAGAATCTCTTGTGAAAATTTTCTCCGAAGAGTCTCTCCGTGTGTACATGTTTCTAGCTTCCCCTTAAGATAGAGAGTGGGGTGGTTATGTAACTACCCCCTCCTCCTAGGTGAAGGACCCCTGTCCCTCCCACTTAAAGAGAGGGAATTCCCCACTTAAAGAGAGAGAACTCCTCACTTAGGAGGGGGAACTCCCATACGGGATACTTTTTTATAATTTTAATGATTTGGCTATTTGACTAGCTAGCCCACTTACTACAAATTATTTGAATAAAAAAAACTGACTTCAACACTCATATAATATGTGAATCACATGAGTGTCCTGCCATGAAAATCTATCAAGAATAGCAATGTGCAACATAACTATTTACTTAGTTTTTATCATTTTAAATATCAAAGTATTTTAAAAAGATAATAGATATTGTTGCAGATGATAGGAATTGTTTGCTAGCTTCTTTTTTCTGGATAATTGCTGTTTTGCCAACTTCTTTTCTTCTCCTTGTATGCATCAAATTGAAACTAGGACTGTCTCTGTTAGGTAGCTCTATTGGCCACAATGATGGGTCCACATATTGCAGCTGCTGGAACTAAGGCTGCTATTGCAGCACTGTGCAATGAAAATGAGTATGCACAGGAGATGTTTGAGGGTGAGGAGGTTAGTGTCACTAATTATTTTGGGTCTCTCACGTCAAAGAATGAACCAGGCAGGTAAGTAATCTTTTCTAAGATTTTCCTGAAGGAATTTATTTTGTTATTGCGTTTGGACATCAAAGTTTTTCCCTCTATAATACCTTATCCCTTGTAGGGTCTGTAAGGTTGATGACATGGAAATGGGGGAGAAATGCATACAATCAGGTAAGATCACCCTTGATTTTTGTTTGATCAGAAACATCAAAAGTGTTAATCAATGTATAAGCAAATCATTGATCCAAAAAAAAAAAAATCAATGTATAAGCAAATGAGTGGAAAACCTTCTCCCAGAAGGCCAGAAGAATATGGATGGGACTAAATGGCAGTTGACTTGTGGAGAGGACCAAAACAGTAAAAACGCCAGCCTCCCCACCCTCCAATACAATCACTCTCTTTGTAACCCATCCCTTGAATTAATGAATTGGCAACTTTGATAACCATCTGAACAAGTTGTTCATCTTGGCTGCCTTAGCAAAAGGAAATGTGCAAGAGTTGCAGTACTATATTCTAATAGATATGCTAAAAGGCCATACATAGAGGAAAGTGAGTTTACCCTATTTTTAATCTGTATCTAGCTTATATGATGCCTAAAACAATAGAGTTTATCACTTGTACAATAGAAATCTAAGATGATATCATCAAATTTGACTTGAAATTCAAATAATCCACTTATCAAAAAAATTGACTTGAAATTGAAATAACCACATACAATTGGTCTTTAATCTAACATATGCTGGAAAGTAAACTCAATGTTTGGTCTTAAATAACGTAAATAAATCGTTTTCTATCAAGGGCTTTGAAACAAGTCTCCTTTGACAAAACTAAATATAAAAAAAAAGTAAAGAACTAATTCTTAATTGAATTTTTCTGAATCATAGTGAATCACATGAATCATATAAATCGTAATTGTAAGATTTATAAATCTAATTGTAGGATTCAAATGAAAATTGTTAAAATTTTTGTAGAAAAGGATTCAGACACAAGGTTCAAATCGAAGCTCTTGGAATTCGTGATTCAAAGTATGATCCTTATCATAAAATCGTAAGATTTTGATGATTTTGACAACATGCACAAACACGTCTGTGGTGGCAAGGGCCACTGCTTGGTGTAACGGTAAAATCTTGGGTTGACAAGGCCTAAAAAAATCTCTGGTTGACAAGTGAGAGTGTGGATTCGAGTCTGAGCGTGTCCACCTTGTGCCATAAAAAAGCCAGAGGTTAGGCTATCCAGTCTACCCCTTCCAAGACCCTACACATCTGGGACCAATGTGGGGTAACGGCCTTTTACATGTCTGTGGTGTCAGCGGCAGTTAGGAGATGCAAAATGCAAAGCTTTGTTAAATAAATTGAAACAAATACCCTCACATGGGTTGAAATAATGGTTGTTATAACATTAGTGGTTGTTTTCTTTTGCAGAACCACAGGAAACTCCCCAAGAGAAGTTGGTACCTTTAGCTTTGCGATTTAGAACTGGAATTGCAGCAGCTCTAGGGACAGCTGCTGCTCATGCCAAGTTATTAGCAGATCAGGAGGATAGAGAGATTGAACGCTTAGTGGCAACTATTATAGAGATGCAGGTCTCTCTCTCTCTCTCTCTCTCTCTCTCTCCTCCGGGAGTGTGTTTGTGATCATTTGCATGCATGCATTTGTGTCCTTGGAGGGGACATTTTTTATTAGTTGGGTTTACTGGAAAGTCTGAATGAACCAACAATTCCTTGCTGTTCCTCTCTCTACTTTAGTCTCTATTTTTGAGATTCAGGTAGTGACTGATAGTCACGGAATTCCTCCAATTGGCAGAAAAGAGGGTACATTTAGTGGGTTTCTCTTGTTGACCCGATTATCCTCCTCCCGCATGGCATCCATGTGTGTGTGTGTATTTACCAATTCTTATTCTTTGTTGCCATCTATCCTTGTATATCATCCGAGAATCAAAGCATCACAATATTCTGTATGACTGACTGTTCCGTGTGGATTAATAGATTAGGAAGATACACTGCAAAATCAAACATTTTGAAGAATTGGAGCTGATAATGGAGAAGGAATACACCCATATAGAGGAGCTAAAGGAGTATTTCATTGCAGAGCGGATCAATGTCATATGTGAAGCACTTAGAGTTGGCATCTCAAGATGGAAGGATCATACTTCTGTAAAATCTGTTATAGGTAGCATATTTTGACGAAGCCTTAGTTCCCATGGGGCCAAAAAAAAAAGGGGGGCCGGGGGTGGGGGAACAAGTTATGATATGAATCTGTTTCTTCTTTCCAATATCAGTGCTAAGTTCAATCACTATTCCAGTCAATTTGATGATGCGAGATTCAAAGTATTGACATGTATCGGCCCATACGTATTATTTCGGGAGCTCCCCAATACGCCCCTACAGAGGATGTATCGGGGTTCTGACCAGTTCAGGGGGTGGAGTCTTAAACCGGCTCTAAAAAAAAAAGTAAAAAAAACTTTAACGCCCGTATCAATATTTAGAACCTTAGATGCACCCTAAGCTCTGTTTGGATAAACTTTTGCTTGAGTTTTGGGCTGTGGAAAACAAAATTGAGTCAAAAGTGTTTTGAACTTTTGGTAAGAGTTTCTCTTAAAAACATAACAATTTAAAGACAAACTCTTTTAAACCCCAAGGTTCAAAGCCTAAAACTGGGACGTTGTGCTTTTGGGTTTTAAAAACACAAATCTTGAAGCTTATCCAAAGGTAATTTTTGTTGCATCATGTTGAGGTAATATCTTATTTTTTACGAATCTTAAGGCTGTACTTGCATCGGATTCAGATTGGATCCAGTTACATCAACATCCAATTGTCAAGCCTTGGGTCCAAATCCAATCAGACACATCGGATTCAAATTTAATCTGTGTTCATGTGTTTAAATTGACAAAAAAAAATTAAAAATCCTTAAAAACTAATTATTTTTAAATTACACATGAATAATTAGTTAATGTAAATAAATATAGAATAATAAATTTATTGATTAAAAGCATAGATGTATACATACATAATTGTACTATGTATGTTTTTAACTGATAAACTTGATATATATAATGGTAATATTTTATCGGGCTCAGATTTTAATTGGATTGCGTGGCATTAAATCTGCATCCAATCCGATGATAACATCCAAATCAGGGATGGTTGAATTGGGTATCGTATTTTCAGAATCCATTGATAGACTTATTGCCATATTGATTTATTTTTGAGTAAATTACAGACTGTCACCTGAACTTTATTTTGTGATAAATACCCCTTTGAAATTTTGGATTTCAATAGTTTGTCCTCACTCCATTAACGGGGTTGATGATCAAGGTAAAATTATTGAATTACCCATTTGAGATTTGATGCATTGAGACAAAAAGCTATCAAAATGATAAAATGGGCATGTTAAAGTATAACCTCATCATCGAGGGGCTGAAGTGCAATAACCCAATTTTCATCATTTGATAGCTTCTGCTCTTAGCCTGCTGAATCTCAAATAGGCCATTTTGTAATTTTACCTTTACCATTTACCCCATTAACAGAGTAGGGGTAAAGGGGTAAAGTGCTGAAGTCCAAAAGTTCAGAGGGAGTTTTTGTCGCAGGGTGTTAAGTGTCACCAGCCCTCAAGTATAGAGTTCTCAATGCGTTGGGCCAAGTGGCCAACCCAACAAAATTAAACTGATCTAACTGATTATGTTCGTTCTGGTTCTGTGGTTTGTGCTTTGATTAATAAATGGAGTGGAGACTGCCAGACTGTTTCTTGCTGTTCTGAACAATCTGATGTTTGTAGCTCTGGCGGGATCAAATCCTGTTCGCACCAGAGTTTTTTTTTGGSGGGGGGGGGGGGTATGGCCGTATATTTTTTTGTCTAAAAGGCTCAGTTTGGAATGAGTACAAATACAAATACGTGAGAATGCAAAACCTTATATTTTGTATTATCTTGTTTGTATTTGTGTTATATGTATTTAATTTATACATTATACTCTTTCCAAACTTAGCCAAAAGGAAAATTTTATAGATGGTTAAACAATTGTTATATCAACATATAAATAATTTATTATTTTATTACCATTTTTATTAAGTATATATAATATTATAAAAAAGAGGTTGTAAGTTGTTATTATTATAGGTAATTGTAGATGTTAAGTATAATTGGATGTGATCCGAATAGACCTGATTAACCCCATTAATATTTGGTTCTGTTCTGGGAAAGCCTAATAGAAACAATATTTGGTTCGCGACTGGTCAACCCTGTCCATAACCAGACTCGACCCATCAACAGCTCTACCCAAGCAAATAATTCACTTTTATTTTTATTTTGTCTCCATATTTGATCTGAGTTGTTAAACTTTTATAGACGCCATCTATTTTATGAGCTCTGGGAGACTGGGACAATGTTAATTTTCCGAGAATATCCAAAATTGGGTCCAACGGCTTCCCATATTTCAGTTCAATGACAAATGACCTTAACACCCGGGCAATTGTCTTCTTCGGAACAATGGAGGGATTGGTTTTAAGGTTATTAAACCCTTCCCCTTCAGTTTCTGAGAACTGCTTAAACTTCCCTGTACTATGAGCCTTATTTCTCTCTTTGCGTATTGAAGATTGGAACGACCATTCCTTCTGTTAGTTTGGTGTAGGTGGAGATGGTAAAATTATCAGTATGCCCCAAGTGAAAATGTTTTACATTTTTTACTTTAATGAAGAGGGTGTATTGGTAATTTTACCATATTGTCTACAACCATGGTTCAATATTGTTAAGGGACACCGATTGGTCAAATTATTTTGGTATCACACCCGGTTTATGTAGTCCATTGTCAAAAAAATGGTAATATAAAGCTCAGCCAACGACCCAGTAGTTTAATCATGGTTTTCAAAACCAGGCCAGACTGGACGGTCGGACTGGAAAAGCCAGGAACTGGTCAGGTAATTGGTTCCATTTGACCCTAAAATCGTTTTTTTGGCCAAAACTGTTGATTTGGTCAGCGATCTGCTGATCTAGGCAGTCAAACCGTCACCCAGCCAACGGTTTTTGGTTGCTTTTATTTTTTATTCATTTTTATTTTTAAGTCAGAATGGGTCATTGGTTTGAATAGAATGATTGGACCATTCAACCCGAGAACCGGTCCCCAGAATGGTTACCTGTCCGGTCCGATTTTAAAAACCTTGAATTTAATTGGTCACTTTTGCATCCCTTCCATTTGAGAGTCCAGATCTGCTCCTCACAAAGTGCATCTCACACCAACCCCACTGTATATCCTGGCCGCACATCAGGAATATCTCCAATATTTGTAATTATTATTAAAGGGAATACAGGGTGGGATTTGGCTGTGAGATCGGTGCGAAGCGCGCTCTGCAAGGAGCCTATCCCAATTCTCCATTCGAGAGGCCTAGAAGCTTTCCATGCTGTGAAATGTGAATGCCAGTAGACCTGCACGTGCACGTTTACCACCACTATAAGGGTTGATGGTAAATTAATAAATTGTCCATTCAATATTCCATGGGCTGACAACAACAAATATTAAAATGATGGTTTCTAAAGCATAAATTGTTCTTAATGCGTGTGATGAGTTGATCATTCTCAAGGCGTTCTCAAGATGAACTTTGTTGCTTTTCTCAAAAAAAAAAAAGAGATGAACTTTGTTGAAGGAAGTTGAGATAAACATGTGAGTTAGGAAGAAAGGTTGCATTTGAATAGGTTTCAGGATTTGTGTTTCCTAATTTTAGGCTTTGTGTTTTGGGGCTTAAAAGTGTTTTGACTCTAGAGTATGTTTTTACAAGAAACACTTGAACGCTAAAAAGTTAAAACGCTGATTTTTGGCCTGGTTAATCCTTAAATGGAACTCATCCATGGCATATTTAATCATCCAAAAATCACATAAATGCAAAGTCAGGCGCTGCTGTCCCAGAGCCAATTTATGTTTGCTATTGTTGGCCTATATTTATAGTGGAAGATCCCTAAAAAGATAAATTGTTTGGAGAAAGTTTTGTCTGGAATTTTATGGGCCTTTTTTAATATCTTAGAAAGGATGGAGGAGTCCAGATCAGATTTCAGCTTTGTTGCTCATATGTTTAGTGGAGTTGACTTTTCAATGTCAATGTACTCAACCTGTATTTCCTTCCATAAAATAGCCTAGAAAACTATTGAGATGATGATTACATAGGCATTGCCGTCAGCCAAAAAGCTAGGCCTAGTGATACTCGGGTAAATTGAAGTGGTTGTAATAGCCAAATCATCAGCAGCAGCAGCACAGGCCCATCTGAGGTCTAGCAACCTAACCCAATGAGGAAATTAGACATGGGTTCAGTGATAGATGGGTTATGAAGCATCTTCCATAATAACTTTCAGCTAAGAGAAGTGAAACATGTATGGGAATATACAAAATCTATTTTTACATTTACTTTGTTCACAAATCACAGCATACAGACTGTTCTATACACATGTTATTTACAAAGAGAAGCATTTACCAGACTTTTCTGTATTTTACAGTATACAGTGGGGTATTCTCTAAATTTATTTTTCTGTATGATGATACAATATTTAACCCCTCCATGATGCTAGTTGGAAGAACACAGTTACAATGCTTTAGTTTTTTCCTGTGGTGTTTGGCGGAACTTTTGATATTTCTGCACAGTTTCTTGTTGAATGATTATGTACAGAGATGTTAAGAGTACGATCTGATCAATCTGAAATTAGTTCTAAAGAAGTTCCCCAGGAGGAAGCCTGCTGTCTCCTGGGGAGGCTTTGGAGAGAAACTCAGGTTCTGTTTCACTCGCAGTATGCTTTGCCCAATCTCTCTTTGGATGGATTCAATTGTTTTGAGATCAACTGGGTTTCCAGACACATCTGTAACGTAGAAAGTGTCTTTTGCTTTCCCACACTTTGTAGAGATCTTTGCTCTTTTGATGCACAAACTATTCTCCCGGAATATCCTGGTAATATCTGAGAGAAGTCCAACCCGGTCCTCTGTGCACAGTTCTAGCTCCAGTCCCTGCAAGACCAATAAATAGATTTTAAGAGAAACTGTTTCTATTTCCTAGGGATTCTCTTGATGATGGGAGGTGATATATCATTACCTCTGAAGTGCGCCTCTCAATGGCTGCTTCAAGACACTGTGTAACACGTTGTCTCTCAGCTTCTGAGCTTATAGGGAGACCATCAACATGTCGGATGTAGTATTCCTACAATTAAACAAGAAATATCTTTATATAGAGCAAAGAACAGACTGAAATACGTGCAACACAGGGTTGGGCATTTGTGTTGCAATGAATAGGATCATTTTTAGCCAATGCCCAAGAAACAGATAATCAGGACCAACAAGGCCTAAAAGCTTAGCCATCAATTGGCCATATTTGCCTGGTTCTTGCAGGAGGCATGTACTTATCTGAATCAACACTAAACAAATTAAACTCGTGAGGTCAAATTTCATGTCTGGGTACATTCGTTGCAATCTGCAATCAACTCTTACTGAACTTCATCTTACCTGATAAGCTTCCAACCTCCCTGTGTTGACTGTTCCATGAAACACCACATACTGCATATCTGTTAGGGTAAATATAGTGTCAAACAAGAGCTTTGGTCTGTCTTTGGACCTCATGGTAACCACAGTATAGTCCTTCTCAACACAGTCTGATATGGTAACATGGGGCCTTGAACTCCTATCCTCATCAGTTCTCCCCATCCCTGTTACCCCAACCCTTTCATAGTCCCTGACTGCAAACATCATCTGATGCAACCTCCTCTCTGTGTGCATCACCCCAGGAGATGAAAGTGTCATTTTTGCTGTGTTCAGGTCATAGTTTCCTTTGAGAACATTGCACAAAAGTTCCTTAACTGTGGAAAGTCTTTCTGAGTCTTCAATTGCACACCCTGTCATCTCATCTGTCACATGAACCACTGCTGCTGCTCTAGCATTGTGTGTCCAGATCTCAGCATTGACTACATTACATCGAAGATTTTTGAGCACGGCACATACTTCGGACAGCAAACCAGGTCTATCAGCACCTGTTAGTTCAATTGAGGTATGCTCATTAGAGGGCATTACTCCAACAGAGCCTCTCAACGAGGGTAAGAAGCAGGCATCTGTTTCAAGAGTCTGCAACATTTACAATAAGGAATCAACGATTTCACATTGAGAGGAATAATTTCAGAAAAAAGGTGCATATCATAGAATTCTCTGTTAGCTACTAATTTCAGTTTGAAACTCTTCAAAAAATGAGTGTATATATAACCAAAAACGTCATGAACTTTTCTTTCCTTCTTTATTTTTTCTTCGTTTGGATATGACTTGAGGAGACATAAATTGAGCAAAAATATGGAAATCTTCAATAGGGGTGCTAGGACAACTATTACTTGGCAAATGCTTTAGTCGAAAAAAAAAAAATTGCAAGGTTGAACGTTGAACTGCTTGGTAAATAAGTACTTGCCTTCTGTATGTAATTAATGATTCCTTCATCGCTGATTTTGTTACCAGCATGGTCGGTCACATTGAACACTGAAACATTAACATTTCTGATTGAGAAGAAGAAGCCGAGGAACAAATGGAAGAAGGTTTGAGTACTTTTAAATTGGAAATTGGCAGATAGAGAAGAAAGAGTAGTACCATCCATGAACCATCCACCATCAGAAGATATATAGGCTTTTGTTATAGTAAGGTTCAGATCTGTGAGAACTTGGACAACTTCCAGGAGAATTCCATGCTCATTAGCGCTATCAATCTAATTAAAGAAACATAGTTGAGTAATAATTTCCAAGGATGATTACTTCATGGAGGCGTGTAAGGAGAGACACAGAATTCAGCAATTCCATAAGTCAATTCAATACTAACAACTTTCTTCCGAGAAAAAGGAAGAAAAAAAAGAGTAAACAGAATGAAGGATTTACCTGAATTACAGTGGCATGCTCACAAGCATCATTGTCAATCACAACTCTGCATCAACAGAAGAAAATTAGACAAGGAAGCAATGCCAACAATGAACCCCAGAAGAAAATAGAAGATAGTAAAGGGAGATAAAAAGAGGCGCACATCCTTGAAATATTAATAGTTGTTTACTCTATGTATCTCAGAAGGTGGATGCAGCAAAGCAAAACTAAAAAGGAAAATGGAAGTCTCCAAATAAACAAGGGAAATTTTTAATTCACACCTCTATGCAAAGTTCTGCTGGAACTCTTAACAAGCACAAGAGATTAGATGTGACACAAAACAACAACTCAGAAACTAAAAAGATTAAAACTTTAATTTCAACAGAAAAAAAAAAGGAGAACCTAGAAACTGGCCTACTTCAAAATTTTTAAATTTCAACACACCATACTCAATATCAAGCACACGGAAAATAATTCGTATAGGGGAAGTCAAGAGAAAGGCATTAACAAGGCAACTTTAAGAAAGAGGCTTTTCAGATAAATATTTGCAAAAATTACTATCTTAATAGCTCCTAAAAATTAAAATTCAAACTGCTACCACAAAACACAGAAAGTAATCTAATGCGAAAAAAAGGGGAGATTTGATTAAAGAAAACAGAAACAAGAAAAAGAAAAGACCTTGGCGGGTTCATCCTCCTGATAAGCTTAGCATACTCATCGTCCATTTCTGAATTTCTAATATTTGCAGACAACCCAATAGTTAAGAACAGATTAAGAATAAAATCCAGAAGTAGAAATAGTCAGTGTTATCGAGAGGGTGCATGAAGATCCCTCCCAAGTCCAAGGAAGGAGAATAGATGTGATGAGATAAGGGAATCAGAACATATAAGCAAGAATAAAGAAGAGAAAGAGATTTAGATTTAGATTTAGAGAAAAAAAAAAATGAATAAAACAAAACGAGAAAGTGAGGAACTGAGGACCTTAACCCTTGGAAGACCAACTTCTAGTCTTTCAACGCTAACCAGATTTCATGAAGCTTTGGTCATCCTGCCCGAATGGTAACGCACCCGGCGGTAGGTGACTTGTAGGTCAGTGATTGGTCGCTCAAACAGTTACGCATTTGCCCGAACTATATAAAGCTGCCCCTTCACACGGCGAGATGAAATTTTGAGTGCGTCAATGCAATGGGTCTCACTCTCTCTCCCCTTTTACTTCGCTCATCCATTATTGTCCGTACGCAGCGCGGGAATTTAAAGAGCACGTGAGTTGGCATCCTGCAAGGAGGAAAGGGCACACACACATGTACGGACCTTTGCCGGGTTCATTTGGTCGCATGCCCAACCGGTTTCCAGATCATGATAATTATGCTTTTTTTTTCATTTTTTTGATAAAAATTTATTTATATTTTTATTTTGGATAAATTTGTTAAACTATTTTATGATTTAGCTAATCGAATAAATGTACTCTAACGGCCCTTTCGTTTTATCTCCCCTTTGCGCAGCTTGTCTCATCATGCTGAAATGTCTTGAAATTGTTCTTTTTACCTAGGGTTTTCATCGGTGGTAGATACATTTGTGGGGCCGACGACGTAAGACAACCTCACGAGATAGGTGAATCGAAGAAATACATCGAAGGTTTCCCGGTGGCTGAGCCCAGAGTTAGTGAAAAATGTGGACGATATCAATTTGTTCATATATCATAGATGTTATTCTTAATATTAGGCAGAGAGATGGGTCAATAGGGTATTCCTTTTTCTCCATTGCTAAAGAAACAGGATGATCATTGAACTTGATCGTGGAAGATTAAGTCAAGTTCATGGGAAACGACAGAGATCTATTCTCCGGGGATGATGACAAATGGGGTGTGGTGTGAGTAATTATCCAGTTACTGCACATTCCCACCCACCGGAATCCTTCCACATAAACGATTGTAACTCACATCAAACACATGTAGTAATTCCAATTTGGTGATATCTTCCGGAATGCTTCCTTGAATCCGGTTGTGTGATAGATACAGACCTGGGGGAACGAGAGATTTCTTAATAAAAAGATTTGTACTTGTAAAGCGTTGTATAATTGGATTTTTTATAAATGGAAAATTGTCTATAATTCACCCTCACTTAAACTTACCGTAACTTTGACTAAGGGGCATCATTAATTTACTATTATACCTTTCTTCTGCCGCTAAAATCTTTCTTTTTTATCTTCGTAGTTTAACGCTAGCATTATTTCCCTTTCTTTCTCTCACTCACTCTGACTCCGCCCTCCAATCGTCAATGGAGCTTCCAGATTAACGATGGGCGTTGTATTATCAGTTAATCCCCACGCTCAATGGTCTTGACTCCTGACTCCAGACGAACTTTTTACCGCTTGACTACTTCTATAACCGTGGAAAAAGATAAAACAGGAAACCGTGTCTATTAGTCCATTTCCACAATTCCACCAAGCAGGAAACAAACTCCTGCTTCAACTCTTCCATGGCGGGACATCTCCGATCAAGGCATATGGCTTCTTTCATGGCTCTATGTGCACCTCTTCTCCTTATCCTTTCTCTTTCTCTGCTTTCACGATGTGGTTCAGGCAAAACCTTTCTCCGACCTAACCTCTCCCTATCTCTTGCCAGCAACGTTCCCCGCCAGTTAGGCAGTTACCAGAAGATGCTCAAAACCTTCAAGATCTTCGCCTATACTCCAGAGAAGCCCCAACCCTTCGGTACCGCAGTCGAATCGCTCTTCCACGATTCTCTCCTGAAAAGCTCCTTCGTAATGACCAACGCCAAGGATGCCCATTTGTTCTACTTGCCTTTCCCCCCAAATTCCTCCCGTAACTACAGAGGGATCGTCCGATTGATCAGGAATCTGTGGATGGACTTCCCCTTTTGGAACCTTACACTCGGGGCTGACCACACTTCTACGCTTCTTGTAGCGGGTAGCGCGATTGGCATGAACTTCGACAGGAACATCGTCGAGTTGAAGAAGAACTCCGTTCAAATCTCATGTTTTCCGACAGCCGAAGGTAGGTTTATCCCTCACAAAGATGTCAGCTTTCCTCACCTCAACGACCAACATCTTCACGCGCCGCCCAGCAACGGAACTGCCAAGTACCTGGGCTACTTAAACCTAAACGGCAGTGGGGATCAAAATGGGAAGCTCAAATCGACGTTCTCGAACGAATTGCATGGCGATCCCCAGTTCCTGGTCGAATCTGAGCCGTCTGATCCCGCGTTGTACGCAGAGAGGTTGTCGAGCAGTAAGTTCTGCTTGTTTTTCTACGGATGAGATGTTTCAGGAATCGGAGACGCATTGCAGTTCGGTTGCGTGCCGGTGGTGATTACGGAGCGTTTGATTCTGGATCTTCCGTTCATGGACGTGTTGAGATGGTCGGAGATCGCGGTGTTTGTGGGAGTAGGAGGAGAGGTTGAGGGGATGAAGAAGCAATTGGATTGCAAGCTCCAGAAGATACACCAGAAAATACAGAGAAAGGGGAAGTGGAATGCCAAAATAATGTAGAAGTTAACATGGGAATTGAGGAAAACTCATCTATGCACCCTTCCTTGGACATTGAGAGTAAGAAGAGCCTTCCTTTGATGTTGAGAGCAAGAATCTTATATATGAAATAGGATTGGGCGCTTAAGGGCATTTCGGTCAATAAAATGTTTAATAGGCTGATTCACCATTAAGGGGCAGTTTAGTCATGAAACATGCATTTAGGTTGATATGGTCAAATTGGGTCATTGAACTTTAACGGTGTTCTAAGGGACGGTGAGTTTTAAAAAAATAAAATCTTGTTAACATGGTGAGTTTTAGACGTTTTGAAAAGTTAGGATGAATTTAAGAAAATTCATAAAAAGTGATGATAGGTTTTGGACAATTTCCCTTTGATTTACTTCCGTGCTCTGTTGCAGAATCTGATGGAAAACTTTTTTGGAAAATTGTGGGAATGGGAGATCTCTTTGTAAGGATTACAAGGAGCATGGGATAGAGAGATGCACCCGCACAATCAGCTATCAAGCAGCAACGACCACAAAACACCATCACCTTCACCACCGCAGTTGCCTCTTCGGTTGCCAAGGTATAGGATGGGGAAGAGTAGGAGGTTTATAGCAGGCCTGCAAACTCGGATTGGAGACCCTAGCAATGGGCCAACAACCTCGGACAGTAGAAGACGATGAGATTTTGAGCTGAATGGTGTTCTCCCAAGCTACAACTGTTACCGATGATAGAAACGGTGTTCTCCCAAGCTACAACTCTGTTACCAATGATAGAAACGGCATTCCCCTCTCTCTATCTATGAACACCCCTTTCATTCCTATCTTTATTTTTTGTTTTTCTTTTCTTTGTTTAAATTCAACCACTTTTGCCTCTGCAACTTCCGGAAACAGCCATGAAGATGGAAGAATGAGGGAGAAAGGAAGTTGCTATCATCACCGGTTCGAGTTGCAGTAATGGTGGTATAACAGGGGAAAAAAAAAAAAAAAAGAAGAAGAGGAAGGAAGGAGGAAGGAAGATGTTAATGCCATTGGTTAAAGTTGCAGCAAGTGGTGGAACAGGGGAAAGAAAAGAGTGTGAATCCTTGGAATAAGTTAAACAACGGCGACGGTTTAAGGGAAACTCTAAAAGAAAACATAGTCAAATTTGATTTAAGGGCAAAATAGATATTTTAGCACTTTTGTCAATATTTTAACAATAATGATAATTTTTCAAAACAGTAGAGTTAGTGTTAGTTAATTTTCAAACAGTTAAAATACACTTAATCAATTAGCTAAACCATAAAGGTAGTTTAAAAAATTTGCCCTTTACAGTTGAGATAAATCCTAATCATAGATTAATGTCAAATCCACAAGAATTCTGGAGTGGGCTGTAATTTCAAAATTCTGGAGTGGGCTGCATTATACTTCTCCGTTTATTTTTTTTATAATCTTTTGTATGGATATTTAGGTGGTTATTTAATTCAAATATTTTAATTACACCTACCCCTCTCCCCCCTCCCAAAAAAAAAGAAATTTAAAAAAATAAAATATTGAGTCTCTTTCATAGTACAGTAATGATTGAGAATTGGTTAAACACTCAAATGTCTAGAGTGGACGGATATGATAACATATTTGACCAATCAAAATTACACCGTGAATTTTGACGAATTTTTATTGGTTAATTAGCCTTGGTGCAAATCCTTCTCTATAGGAGATTCATATTGTTATAGCGTCTAGGACCCATATTTTCACCACTTTTCCTATGTTTGAAACATTGAAACATGCCATAAGATGGATCTAATTGAAAGGTTAATTATAAACCATCCCAAAAATCAGCTTACATGGAAAGCCTCTAACCGTTTGATACCAAGTATTTAGATGGATGGTGGAGACTTCTACAATCAAATTGACAAAGTCACATGATGAAATAATTAATTTGTTGTGCATCTACCAAAGTTTTAGTTGGGATACATTGAATGGTGGGTCCTGAATTTTGAATATGGGACAGATAACAGCTGGTTCTAAGAGGTCCGAAACTCTTTTATGAGTCCTATGTTTTATACCCATAAAATTAAATACTCATTAAATATTTGTGAGCTCTTTTTCTTTGTTTATCATAATCATCACCTAAGCCTTATCTCAACTATAATGGGTAGGGGTGTTCACGGTTTGGGCAACTAAACTGTGGGTCTTTTTTTGTGAACCGAATTGGTAGTGTTAGTTTTTAGAAAATTGGTACTTAGAATCAAATTGAAACCAGTCGATTAATTAGTTGATCGGTTCAATTTGTCAGTTTTTCTGTTTTTTTACTTTATAATATTTATTATAAAAATATATATAAATATATAATAAAAAATATAAATATATATAATACGTATTTATTAATTTATAATATATAATATATATAAATATATAGAAAAACATGTATACCGGTCGGTTTGGTTAACCGTCGATTTTTTAAATTGGTTAACTGAAACTGAACCGACTGGTTTGGTTAACCAATTTTTCGATTCGGTTTTTCAGTTTTATTTTTTTTTGCTCACCTCTAATAATGGGTTTGTTTCATGAATCTTATTTTGCCATTCCATTCTTTTTATAATATATCTAATGTTAAATTATGAGCACTTGAATCATTTCTTACTACTTTGATCCATGTCTTTTTTGGTCTACCTCTAACCCTTCTAACCCCTTTAACATGCAACAAATCATTTCATCTTATGAATGTTGTCAACGGTCTTCTATGCTTGTGATCTAAACCATTTTGGTCTGCTTTCTCTCATTTTATCACTTGATGGAGCTACTTCATAAGTTCCTTTGAAATGATTTTATTTTTGACCCTATCCTTTATAATTTTTCCATTCATCTATTTCAACATATGCATTTCTACCATACTCATTTTTTAGACATGCTATTTTTGGAATGCCAACACTTTGCCTTATATAGCATAATTGCCCTTACAATTGTTTCATAAAATTTTTCTTTTAATCTAAGTAGTATTTACTTATCATATGATATTCTAAATGCATCTTTTCATTTTGCCCAATTTGCTCTAATTCTTTGGGTGATGTTCTTTGTAATTACTCCCTTGTTATGAATTATCAAAATATGGTATTAAAAAAGGTTACATTGAGTTATCTCTTGGTTTTCGATCCTAAGTATACTTTGGTTTGAACTATTAATATTATTAAATTTACGTAATTTCATCAATTAAAACAATGTCATAAAAAAATAACTTGCATAATGAAACTTCCTCCTAAATATGTTTAATCAATTCATTTATAATCAATGCAAATAAATGAGGGTTAAGTGTTGAACCTTAATGAAGACCTATCATAACCGTAAAAGTTGATGTATCTCCAATAGGTGTTCTAACATTGCTTGTTGCATCCTCATGTGTATGTTTAATTAAGTTTATACACCCATTTGGAACCCCTTTTTCTAAGATACACTATATTATCTCTCTAGGGATCATAACCTTTCTTTAAATCAATGAATACTGATGAGGGCATTTTGGTCGCCCCACACAATTATCGACACGTGGACGCTGGTGATAACGCAACATCCAGCATAGTGAAACAGCTCGCCAAAGTGACACCAAGTGCACTGCCGAGCCGGGGTGAGCTTGGCCCGCCGACAACAGCAGCTACCCCACACGATTACAGACACGTGGACGTTGTCGGCGATGCAGCGTCAAACTCAGAAAGACAGCTCAATAGATCGGTACGTGGCAATCGACATCAGGTGCGCGGCCAAGCTGGAGTGAACTCGGCCCGCTGACAACAACAGCTCGCCCCGAAAACGTCCTGCGCGCCGCGCCCACTCGAGCACCGTTACCACGACTACAGGAACAACTCACCGAGCCGTACGCCGCAAGACTCGCGGACGACCTATAACTATCGCACAAATCTAGCAAATGACACCTTAATGCACCTGAAAATAAGGAAACAACTCCACAAAGAGCTCAAGATAGTTACCTGAGTCCAGGAGCCTATATAGGACGTCTAGATCCACCTAGAAATGTATGCACACTGATACTCTCAAGCTCCCTTACATTCTCAGAGGTTACTCCTACACATTCGCTGACTTAAGCATCAGAGTGCCCTCCCCGGATAAAAGCTACCTGGGCACTCTCACCTTCTTCTCTTTTTATAGCTCACTTCAGCTCGGATACCTAGTTTGCGACTTGTCCACGCAGCTCATCCACACAGCTCAGCCCAGCCAGATTGCTACTAGTCGGAGTCCGAGTCGCAACACATGAGGGAGCGTCCAGATTGTGCATCATCTATTGGTGGGCATATTTTGTGCTTCATCAAATACCATAGAAGATCTCTCTTCTTCTCTCTTAATTTTTCTATCAATCATCTCAAAATAAAGATATTTTCCATGGTTGATTTTTTTGGCATAAAATCAAATTGGTTTTTCGATATACTTGTTTCATGTCATAACTTTTGTTTAATTACTTTCTCTTAAAGCTTTATAATGTGGCTTATGAGTTTAATCCCTTATAATTATTACAACTTCTTATGTCACCTTTATTGTTAAATAGAGACAATATGTTTCTGTTTCTCCATTCATTAGGCATCTTTCATTCTTTCATTATCTTATTAAATAGTTTAGTTAGTCATACTAAGACTACCTCTCTTAGACTCCCATACCTTTCCACACTTATAATATTAGAATACCAATGCAGGTCTTGACGTATTTCTCTTCCTCATCTTATTTAACAATTCTTTCACTTCATTGGTTTTGATTTTATGAAGGTACATGTTATTTTTAATACTATCAATATTATTAATCATCCCTCCATTAGTGCCCTATACACATTTTCATTTAATAATTAATTTTCAAAATAATTTTACATCTTTTGATTTCCTCATCTTTTTATCAAGACTCTTTGATCTTTTTCTTTTTCTTTAATGCGTCTAAAATTATTTTAATCTCTATCATTCCTT